TAATTTTTTTCTTGAGTATTGTTCCGGGAAACGTTATGTTGTTACAATATCTGCAGTGCTTTTCATAGTCAATAAATTACAACCACAGACGTCAATTTCAAGAGACACGGTGTCACATTGGTTAAAAAATAAATTTAACCTCAAATTGATCAAAGCGATACCTGAAGACATCGGAAGAATTAAGCTAGACCCAGAAAAGGTTGTTGACAATTATTTAAAAATGACCATTTTCAACGGGACACCAGCACAACTATTGTTTAACATCGACGAAATAGGCTTTGAGGAATGGTCAGATAGAAAACAAACTGATGTTCTGGTTCCGAAGGATTCGGATGCAAGCTGTATTAAAATCGGGTTTTCCAGAGGAGGACAACGCAAAACTGTATTGGCGTGTATTTCGGCAGATGGAAAGAGCCACTGTCCAGCTTTTATTACTTCAATGTCTTTCGTTGATACCCGAACGTTACTTAAATATCCATATGTCACAATTTATTCAACCAATAGTGGATTTATCACCAAAGAAATATTTGTCGAATGGTTAATTAGTTGTTTCATTCCAACAGTCAACAGAATTAAAACAGAAGACAACTTGAGTAAAACTGTCATCGCTGTTTTAATAATGGATAATTTCAGTGGTCATGTTGATACTGAAATAGAACATCTTTTGAACACCAACTTCATAAAAACTCATTTTTTGACACCTCACAGTTCACACTTGTGTCAACCCCTCGACTTAGTCATGTTCGGCAACTGGAAAAAGAAGTTACAGTCGAATGCTGAAATTTACAGAACTGAAATATTTCCAATGACTATTGTATACACAAACGAGACAACAAGTTGTTTCAAACAAAGCACAGTACCACACAATGTCGAAACAAGTATGATAGTAAAACAGGCGGCACGTGCTCTGGATGGTTACATACAAAAAATGGCGAAAGCCAGCCAGATAGTTGCGGATTCGACCAAACAAAGTCGAGATCTAACAGGAGAACGTTCAACGCGTACATTTGAACGCATTTTCGGTGGAATGGAAGAAGTTGCTACTTGCAAAAACATCCAATCATCTTTTAACAGATCTGGTTTGGTGTGTAGGTATATCGCCGGAGAGTCCAAGATGTTTGTAGACTTGAGTAGTGCTTCCGACTTTGTCGCAGTGTGCCCTGATACATTTGAAAGGGTCAAATGTAACCAGGTTTTATTTCGCCAATTGTCTGCCCCAGATAACACTTCTGAAAGAGTAACATTGATCCAGACACCGAGAAGGTAGTTTAATGCTGCCTTATTGTTTTCTGAGATTGAAGAAAAGTTGTTTGACCTTTCAAATGTCGGAATCGATGTGCAAGCTGTTGTATATTCATTAAATTTACTAAAAGAAGTAACCTTGGGGAGAGAGTCAGTGTTTCCGATACTCAAGTATACAATGAACATCACCAACAAAGACAAAACCAAAACTCCAAAACCGAAAAGTGAATTCACAAAGCAGAAAGTCGAAACAACCAACAAGAAGAGAAAGAAAGTAACCAAACCGAAAGTTGCCAAGTAATTTTCAATCACTTTTTGATTTTTGAGTTTCATGACTTCAGAATCTTTTTGGTGTTTTTGTTAATCATTTGATTGGATGCAGGCTTTTTGTCTTGATTTGAGTAGTGCTATATACAGCTTTTATAAGAAAACTAATTTATATAGAAAAAATATTAACTTTTTAAATTAGCAGGCTACTTTTTCCGGTCACTGTACAAATATATTATATATTGTTTGCTTTATGTCGCACATTAATGTGTGGTTGTTTATCATTGCAACATATCAATTTAATATCTTTATATTATTAAATAAATGTTTGTGTGTGGTTATATTCAATTTTATATTCTTATTGTTTATGATGGTGTTGGTTTTGATTTTCAAAGTTCCTGCTTTTATAGTATATATTTTAAATGGATATTTTTAGAAAATTTGCACAAATACCGAAATAAATTTTTTGCCTCAAATATTTTATGATTTAAACAACTAAATATTTTTATTGATAATTGAAAAACTCTTTCTCAATTCATATAACTTGAATATATTTAATAATTGTTAAATTATTTTATTGGTTCAAATTTTTTACATTCTGATAATATCTTGTATAATAATCAATAAAAAATAAACAAATATTAACAATGTTTTAATAATCGACAATACATTAATCACAAGTATGACACATTTCTGAGACTCACAGCTAAATGCAACTTATAATTTAAGCATAATTTATTGATATTGGTGTTCTTCAAATTTAAAATGTATAAATAGTTGCAACTGCTAATTGTGTAAGAAATAAACAAAAAGTAATTCGCAATCAATAATTAATATTTATATACTTAAAACATCTTGTCTGTTTTATCTGATCGCACCAACATGTAAAGATAAACTTTATCAACAACATCAGTTGAAAATGATGAAAATGTAATAATTTCAAAGCTCGGAGTTATATTTTTTAGTTTTTTTGTTGTAACTTGTTAAGATAATAAAAAATAACAATATTTTATTTTCTAAATGAAAGTGATGAAGTAAACAGGTAAACTGTTTTACAAACTCTTGTTATTAAATTGTTAAAAAAATAACAATCAATAAACATCTTTATAATATTTTATCATAATAGTTGTAGTGTTATCAAAATATAATTGTATAATTATGTGTGTTTTTATAATAATAATAATACGATTATTAATTGAATGTTTGTAAAAAAAATATCTGGTTTATATGTATTTATCAACAAAAATTCGTTGAACAAAAATAGTGAACATCGACGTACTTACATAATGAAATAATCAACAATTGTTTATTTATGATTTTATTTCATTTTCATGGAATATCACGATTATTTAACAAAATTAGCATTCAATTAAAAATTCAATTATGACTTACCTTTCATTTTATTTGGTTTGCATAACAAAGAAAAGTCGTCTACCACAGCCCAATCAAAAATTCAACAATCAAAAAATGTCATTAACAGTCATTATTCAACCAAAACAAATCAATGATTACATATGTATTTAAATTAATGTATATATTTTTATATACTACAACGTTAAATTATGTTTATAACTTTGTTGTGTAAATTATTGGAAACATTGTATGATAAATATTTTTTTTAAAAAATATTTTATTCTGCAAATACAACTATTTTTTACTCGAGTAAACTTTTAATGACACCAAAAAATTAAAGATACAGTATAGTATCATTATTAATATCTATATTATATTAAAAATAAGCAGAATGTTCAATTAATTATAAAATATTTAACAATCAATAACAACTAATTCATATACATTATTTTTAAATGCTTTTTGATATTTTTTTATATTAAATAGTTCAATTCTACTGCCTATTGTTTGGTTTTTTGACGAACCATGTTTATGAAAAACAATGAAATTGTTTTTCATTAAAATTTTAAATAAATTGTAAATTACTTTTAAAATGTTTTTTTGTCATATACAGTCATGCGAAAAAGCTGTCGTGTTTGGAAAAACCTGTCTTGAAAAAATATTTTATAGTAAATTTATAATTACTTACTATACAGTATAGCTTCTATTCGATTTATTTGCAGGGTCATTTCACAAAAATCGAATAAAAATATTCGGCATTTCCAAATAACATTTTCTATTTCAGATCATTTGTTTATAGTACTAGAATAGTTCATTACCACCAGAGACAGGTTTTTCCAAACGCGACAGCTTTTTCTCATGACTGTATATTTTATAAAACTGTTTTTTAATCGAATATATATATTTTTTATATTATTTAATTGTTTATTATGATTAAATCATATTTAGTTTATAAAAAACAAACAATTGAAAAAACATAACATTTATTTTGTTTTTAAATACAACCATTCCAACAATTTTAATAAAAAAAATTAATAATAACAATTCAAAAGACATTGAACAATAGTCAAATGTCTAAAAATCGTAAAAATCCTAAACTTAAAAAATATTTTTCATTTCGAATGTTTATAATGTGTATTAAAACACTTATTTTAAAAGGGAGCAAACTTTAAAAGAAATTTAAGATCCAGATATTCAAACTCAATTTAATAAATCGATTAATTATTTTGAATAAATTAATAAAATCAGTGTTTTTTAGTGTTAAGTCTTTATAAATTTGCTTTTCGTTTCACAATGATAAATACACTTTTAAAGTGGATAAATTGGTAATCGATAATTTAAAAACTATTTTCTTATTTCTAGTGTATATATTTTTAGGAATTTACCTTTTCATTGTTTGTATTTTAAGTTTATTGATCTTCTCAAAATAATTTCGTCATTATTTATTATCCAAAAAACGATCAATTTTGCATTTTATTAAAACAAAAAAGACTTTCTATGACAAACAAAACATTTGTTGTTGTTTTTAATATCAAATGAACAGTTATATTTTTATTAACATTTTAAAGTATTATAAATTGTTGTATTTTTGTTAATAAGTTAGTATAAATCTTTTAATTATGAATAAATTGTTTCATACTACTTTTTTAGAAACTTCAAATTTTTATATTTATTATATTATAACACTGAAATATATATTACATCGAAGAAAATATAATATTTTTGTATAATTACAATACAACTTTGTGATTATTCATAAAGTTATTTTAATTATAATAAAATAGAATTTAATTTCGTTTCAAAACTATTTGTGTTACAAACTATTTATATTTCATATTAATAATAATACAAAACATGGTTCTTATTTTATATAAAAATTAACTTCGTATTTATTTATTCATTATAGTAAATAATAACCCCAATTGAGAGGAGCGTCAAATATTATTTTAGTTTTCTTTTTCCAATTAATCATTGCAAGTTTTTGTTATTTTACAAACCATTTACCTACATTTTTACATTAAAATGATTGCAAAATACCCGAAAAGTCTTCATTTTTATTTAATACAGTTACAATTAAATCAATTACCCCCATTACTATTTAATGACCACCATTTCATCAAATAATAACAATCAATATTATGTTGCTTCTGTTTTCTCTTCTGTTCATCGGTTCACTCGCTGAGTGTACTTTTGAAAAAGATGCCACCAATTCCAACTGTTATAAAGCAGTTGACCCAACTCAATGTTATGGTACCTTAGAAGTCCCCTCTGATGTAAATACGATTTGCACCAATGGATTTTTGAATTCGCGGATTTCTGCAGTAAAATTCGCAACAACTTCCCAGGTAACAATTGGAGAAGCTGGTTTTAAAAATTCTCCTTCATTGCATTCCATAACTGCATCTGCTGGAATTAAAGAAATTGGAAATGAGTCTTTTAGTGGCTGTTTTGCTCTTGAAACTTTACCAGAAACCATTTCTTGGACCAAAATTGGAAGTAAAGCATTTTACCAATGTTATTCCCTTGGGGAGTTTACTTTAGGAAATAAACTGACTCAAGTTGGTGAAATGGCGTTTAGTGAAAGTGGAGTAGTCTCTGTAAACTTACCCAGTTGCACATTTGGGAAGGGGGCATTTTTAAATTGCCAAAAATTAACAACAGTGACTTTAACAGCTCATAAAGTACTTGAAGAGAGTCTTTTTGAAAATTGTATCAACTTAGAAACACTCTCTGGAATTGACCAAGTCACTTCTATTGGAAAGAAATCACTTGCTGGGTGCCTTTCAATAAGAAATTTCACTTTCAAAAATACAGTGACTTATGGTGAATATGCTTTGAGTGGTTCTGGTCTTGAAAAACTGACTCTAAGTTCCACAACAATTAATTTGTCAGTCGGTCTCTTTGCCAATTGTGTCCACTTAAGAACAGTTGCTCTTGGCGATATCACAACTCTTCCAGCAGAACTATTTTTAGGGTGCAAGAAGCTTGTTGTTGTGTCAACTACTAATGGATTGACTTCAATCGGAAAAGCCGCATTTAAAGACTGCAAAGCACTCTTTGGAATACCAATGACAAACACCATCACTACACTTGGAGATAACGCGTTTGAAAATACCAATTTTAGAACATTCAAGTTAAATGCACAAATGACGACTATTGGTAATTACGTATTCAAAAATTGCAAATACCTTGAAACGATTGATTTAAATGGTATATTAAATATATCTGAAGGGATGTTTGTTGGATGTGAACGACTGAAAACGATCAAAGGCATTGAGAAAGTCACTACATTTGGAAAATACGCACTTTCTACACTTAATTTTGATAATTTTGTACTTCCAAGTGGTTCGACAATTGCTGAAGGTGTTTTTAAAGACTGCAAAAAGCTCAAAACAGTTACTATAACAGGACACACAACACTTCCTGATAACTTTTTTGATGGGTGTGAATTACTTACATCAATAACTGGATTTGATTCCATTACTTCTTTTGGGAGTTATTCAATGAGAAACACTGGATATCATAATATTCAATTAAAAAGTGCTGTTACTTATAACAAAGGCACTTTTTCTAATTGTTTGTCTTTAAAAAGTGTAACACTCGAAGAAGGTGTTATTTCAATTCCCGAAGAAATGTTTAAAGACAGTGTAAATTTGGCTTCTTTTAATTCCTTTGACAAAATCACGACATTTGGAAATCATTCCTTTTCAAATACTTTAGTTTCTACAGTGGTGTTAAAATCAGACGGATCAATTACTATGGGAACGGGTGTTTTCATGAATTGTGTGGAACTTAATTCGTTTACACTTGGCAGTTTAACAATACTCAATGACTTTATGTTTAGTGGTTGCAAGAAGTTAACAACAGTGAATGGAATTGAAAAGGTGACTTCGATAGGAATGTCGTCTTTTGAAAATTCAGGAATTACTAATTTGATTGTTTCAACTGCTTTAACAACAATCAAAGAAGCCGCTTTTAAAGGAAGTGCACTGGTTTCAGTGACATTGACTTCTTCAGTACAATTGATTGGAAAGGCACAATTTGCTGAATGTAAACAATTGGAAACAGTGACATTAAATGGATTCACTCAATTAACCGAAGAAATGTTTTCTGATTGTACTTCCCTTGATATTTCTTCTCAGATTGATGCTATTACTTCATTTGGAAAAAATTCAATGCAAAACACCAAATTGTCTTCGTTCACATTTAAATCAACAAGCGTCACTTATGCAACTCCTTTTATTTCGAATTGTAAATATTTAATTACTGTTGATTTAAAAGAAAAGACTGAACTTGAAGACTATATGTTCAGTGGATGTACATCACTTACAAATATCACAGGTCTCGATAAAGTGGTTAAATATGGAAATTACTCATTAAGTGGTACATCACTTAGAGAAGTTTCTTTAGTCACAGGAAAGACATATGGAGATGGAGTATTTGCACAAAATACACAATTAGAAATAGTACACGTCTTGACTAATTTTGTGACTCTTCCCGACTATACATTTGCTGGTTGTACTTCTTTAGCCAACTTAGAAAATGTTGATCAAATCACTACATTTGGTAAATTTTCGTTGAGTGGGACCAAATTTGTTTCATTTACCATGTCGACCTCAAAGAAATATGGAGATGGACTTTTTAAAGACGCAAAAAGTTTAGCGACTCTAGATTTTGGAAATATTACTGAAGTACCAAATGACTTTGTTTCAGGATGCGAGTCTCTTGTGACATTGAAAAACACGTCCAAAATTTTAGTAATCAACAAAAATGCCTTCAAAAATTGTAAGAAGTTAGGTGATAGTGGTTTATCTTTTTTAAATAGCGTCATGTACTTTGGAGAGTATAGTTTAAGTGGAACAGCCTTAAGAACAGTGCATTTGAAAACTGATTCTATCGTCAATGAAGGTCTTTTTGAATCATGCAGTGTATTAAATTATGTTGAAATGAACAATGTAGCATTCCCAAGTAAAATATTCAAAAATTGTGTTTCACTCTCTGGTGTTGTGCAGTCCAATAAAGTCGCTTTTGTTGGCGATGAGGCGTATCAAAATGTTCCATTTGAAGACGTCACTTTAATAACAAGAACGATCTATGGAAGAGCCGTATATTCTGGATGTACACGATTGCAGCATGTTACCAATGAAGGACTGACTAATATTGCAGATGAGATGTTCAAAGATTGTGTACTGTTAAGTTCACATGAAGGTGCAGATAAAGTGACTTATTATGGTGATTACTCATTTATGCATTGTGGGTTGTCCGACGTCTCTTTAAATCCAAAAAGTTTATATGGGGTCGGTGTCTTCTCTCAAAACCCAAAACTCTCCACTCTCAAATTAAAAAGTGTTGAATATGTTGGAGAAGAATTATTTGAAGGTTGTGGACGTATATCTTCATTTAGTGGTCTTTCCACTATTAAGTATTTATACACAAAAAGTTTCTATGAATGTTCATCAATGATTAGAATTGATTTAAATATTATCATCTCGATGTCTGAAAACGTATTTTCGAATTCGCTTGTGTCTGTTACTTCGACTCAAACACATTCACCACTTTCGACGATTGATTCGTTCGCGTCTAACACTAAAGTTTATGTCACAAATGATTATAATGATCTCTACTTCGCTAATATTTTTGTTGGACAAACAGCTATGAGCTGCACGCAATTGCAATACTTCGACGTCGCCACACAAAGTTGCAGAGCCTGTGATGGAACATATTACAGTCTTGGTGGTTTTTCCACTTCTTGTGATTATGATCAGACTAATTGTCTTAGGACTAATGCAAATTGCTCACTTTGTATCGGTTCAACATGCCAACAATGTAAACCGACTTTCTATTTAGAGAGTGGCGTCTGTAAAACAGTTGATTGTGGCAGTGGTATTTATTATGAAGGGAAATGTGTGCCAATTTGTAAATCAAATGAAGAACTCGTCAATTATGTTTGCACTCCAAAATGCACAACAACACAAGAAAGAATAGATGGTGTGTGTTATACCAAATGTGCTCTCAATGAAGAGAGAGTGGGAACTACTTGTAAGACGCCTTGTGGTATTGATCAAATAAGATATACAGACGATACTTGTGGTGATAAATGTCCAGTTACACAAGAAATAGTCAGTAGTGCTTGTGTTGATAAATGTGAAGCAACTAAAGAAAGAATAAATGGCACCTGTGTTGAAAAGTGTTCAAATACTCAAGAAAGAATCAATGGAATATGTCAACTCAAATGCGCTGATGGAAAGGAATTATATAACAATAATTGTGTCGATCTCTGTAAAACTTATTTCACAAGAAATGAGAGTGGACTTTGTGAACAACACTGTCCCACTGGGTGGATTGTGCAAGGAGATAAATGCCTTGAACATTGTGATGACACTGAGGACAGAATTGGAGATGTTTGTATGAAGAAGTGTGATGCCACCACACAAATTAGAGATGATACTTCTCATTTATGTGTATGTAAATCAGATTATGAGTTGATAGCTGGTAAATGCTTGAAAAAGTGTGATCCAACGACACAAGATAGATATGAAGATCAATGCAAGACGAAATGTATAGAAAATGAAGTGAGAAATAGCGACACTGGAATATGTGAATGCAAAGGGAGTTATGAAACAGTAAATGAAAAGTGTTTGTTAAAATGTGACCCATTTACAACTGAACGATATGGCGAAGAGTGTAAAACGCTTTGCAAAGTTAACGAACATAGAAATATGGAGACTGGAAATTGTGAATGTGATTCTGCATATGAATACATTTCAAATGTTTGCACATTAAAATGTGATCCTTATACACAAACTCGAGATGAAAATACAAAGGAGTGTATCTGCAATTCTAATTACGACTCGATCAATGGAAAATGCTTAGCTAAATGCAATCCACTTACCGAAGACAGATTTAATGAAGAATGTAAGACAAAATGCATCGAAAACTCACATAGAAATACTAACACTGGAGAATGTGATTGTGATTTTAACTTTGAAAAATACAATGGAAAGTGCTTAACAAAATGCGACTCACAAACGGAAGACAGAGTCGGCGAGACTTGTAAACCAAAATGTGTTGCAAATGCGCATCGAAATCAATTGACAACGGAGTGCGAATGTGATACAAATTATGATTTGGTCAATGAAAAGTGTTTATATCAATGTTTGACGACTGAAGAGAGAGTTGGGGAGGTTTGCATGACGAAGTGCAAAGAGCACGAAGAACGCAATTTGCAAACAAATGTCTGTCAGTGTATAACTGGCTATGAAATATTCAATAACAAGTGCGCATTGATTTGTGATCCAAATGAACAACAACGCGACGAAACCACTGGAAATTGTTTATGTAAAAATGGCAAAGAAGCTGTTGGTACAAAGTGTTTAGACCCGTGTACAGGAGACACTGAAAGAGTTGGCGAAGACTGTCTTGCAAAATGCAAAGAAAATGAAGTTAGAAAAGACCGAGTCTGTGTATGCAAAGATGGGTACGAGTTCTATGAGTCTGTTTGTCTATTAAAGTGTAAGAAAAATCAAGAGAGAAATCCAACTACCAAAAAGTGTGAATATAATTGTGGTGAAGGGACAGAACCCGTTGGAGAAGAATGTCTTCCTGTATGTGAAAAGGGATATGAAAGACAAAACGGGCAATGCACGCGAGTTGTTTGTGACCAAGGAAAAGTATGGGAAAACGGGGAATGCGTTGATGTTAAATGTGACGAAGGACAATATTTAGAAGAAGGAGTTTGTAAGTACTGTAAAGTGGTATATCCAAATGATTGTACTACAGATGAATGCATACAATGTAAGAATTCTTCAAATTACTCAATTGGTGTGACAATACTTTTGGTGATAGTAACTTTATTGTCACTCTAAGAAATTGTTGTTTTCTTTTTGATTGAAAATTATTAATAAAAATATAAATTGAATATGTTTAATAAATTAGTTAATAAAAATAATATGATTCAACAATTTTAGTCAAAAAGACAGTGCAACAATTATATATTATGTAAAATTAAACACAAAAACAACACAACAAAAGTTACATTTTAAATTGAACATTTATATTGTTTTTGAAATTTAATTTATTTTTTAAGTTATCCTCATTTGTAATACATTAGTTTTATTTTTTTGGATTATTCAAATTAAGTTATTATGATCACAATGATATAAAAATTGTAAATACAAACACAAATTATTTTATGTTTTTTTAATTGGTAAAAGTATAATTATTTATAATAATTTATTTTGAAATTATTGTTTGAAGTTATGGTTTGACATCACAAAAAAGATATAAAAATAATATAATTATATAAAAAAGTTAAATAATTTATGAAAAAACATATTAATATTACTATTATTATTAGTCAAAGATAATATTGTTGTTTAGAAAAGCAAATTTGAAGTCCAATTGTTTTTTGTTTTCACTTGATACTGAGACATACATTAATACCCTCGTTCATTAAATATAAATATTTGGAAAATGAAAAAAGTAAAATGAGTTTGCCACTTTTATACACTCTTTTTTCACTTTGTTATTCTGAAAAAGTTGTCGCTCATTGTAAAAACGTTAAAAACAACACGTGTACTCTATGTTCGAAAAATTACATTTTAAGTAAAGAAGGTCAGTGTATATCAGAATTTGATTTGCACTGTTCTTATCGTGTTAATGGTGTTTGTCTTTTATGTCATCCGGGTTACCAAATTAATATCACTACTCGAAATTGTGTTGTTGGAGATGAATTATGTACATCATGGTCTTATCCAAATTCATTTATATGTCAGGAGTGTGTTAGTGGGTATACTCTTCTTAATCAAAATAGATGTGAAAATTGTAGTTCCATTCAAAGGGGGTGTTTAAGAGCGTTTGGGGATTGCTCGAGGTGTTATACATGTCAAGATGGTTATTACCTTGAAAATGAAAAATGTAAAAGAGTAGCAAATTGTCGTGTATTTGATTCAAATAGAAAATGTACTCTTTGTATAGCTGGGTATTATTTTGACCTCGAATCAAATACGTGTGAAAGGGGGAATATTTCCAAGTGTATTTTCTATCAAAACAAAACTGTTTGTGGAAGGTGTACTGAAGGCTTGGTTCAAATTGGAAATTCCTGTGTTGAAGTCGACCATTGTATAGAAACCGATGGACAACAATGTTCTTTGTGTGAACTGGGTTATTCGTTAAATAATTCCAAATGTGAAAAATGCAAAGATAGCAATTGTGCAACTTGTATTGTCAACAAAGACATGTGTACAATTTGTTTATCAGAGTTCAGATTGACATCTCAAAAGACTTGTTTGTTTTGTAATGAAAGTATAGGCTACAAGATGTTTCAAGATAAATGTGTCAAATGTGACTCTTCTTGTAAAAGTTGTGAATTACATTCTCCACAAATTTGCACAGAATGTGTAGGCACTTCTGTTCTCAAAAACGGAAAATGTATTCAATGTGAAGATGGATGTAAAAGTTGCAATTCCGAAAATGTTTCAATATGCGAAGAATGCCTTGATGGTTTTATAATGAATTTAGATTCGAACACATGTGTAAAGTGTTCGGGAAATTGTTCGACTTGTCAATTTGAAGACACCTCTCAATGTATTTCCTGTTTACCTGGATATTATTTTTCTGAAGACCAAAAGAATTGTTTTGACTGTTCGTTAATTCAATGTTCGGAATTAAATTCAAAAGAAAAATGTGACTCATGTTCATCAAAATGTAAAACAAGTGGAATTGATTTTAAAAATTGTTTTGATGTAAACTGTCTTGATTATAACAACGAAAGAAATGTATGTGTTGAATGTAAAAATGGGTATTATGTTGATGACAATTATTCATGTCTTCAGTGTGATCAAAAATGTGGGGAGAATGGATGTGTGAAATTTAAGGATTTCTGTCTCTTACCCCCAAAACAACCCAATTGTGTCATTGAAATGGTTGATAAAAAGTGCAAACAATGTTCATCACAATCATTTTCAGTACAAAATGGAGTTTGTGAAAAAAGAGGATTTTGTTTCAACAGAAATGATAATGGCAATTGCACAGCATGTTCTTACAGTTTAAATGGGAGAGATGTATTTTATGAACCATTTGAAAACGGACTGTGTAATCTGTTAATTGATCCTAATGTAATCATTAACAGCTCTGCACTTATCTTCGTCTTTGCAATCACTTTAATAATGTTCTTATTTATTTAATTGACAAACCGTTAAAATTTTCTATTTTTAATTTATTATTATATTATTATATATTAATTATATAATTTTATAAAACATTTATATGTAAATTATTCAAAATTTAATTATGTTAAAAACCATGTTTTTTTGAATATATTTGTGACTATAAATGTACAAGCAAAACAAACAAGAACACATTTCAATTGTATTTGAATGTTCCTTATATGTAACATTTTCATTGTTTAATGTTTTAATTTCAATGTAACAATATCTAGCCAAAAAACACAAATGATATAAATCATAGTAAATAATAATGTTTTTCATTATTAGTTGAAAACATAGAAATATATAAAAATAAAAAGAATAAGTATTTAACATACAATTGAAAATACAACCATACTTTTGGTTGCGTTTTTCATTACCATAACTTTAAAATTGCGCTTTAAAAAAATAAAAATGGCTATTTATAAAGTTATATTAAATATAATTATTGATATTTAAGATAAATTTAAATACAAAAACAACATTTAATTGTTGTGCTTGTGTCAATTATTCACACAGTCGATTACAATCACTCAATGTTTGCTTTGTAAATATAAATAAGGTTCAGGTCAACATAAAAGAAAGCACTACCGAAAAATTATCAAACAAAATCTTAAATATATTATATTGTCGATAGAATTATAAATCAAAAACTTAAATGAAGAATTTTGATATAATTACTTTATTACAATAAAATTAAACTTAAAACATAGTCGAATAGCCCACAACACAATAATTATAAAATGGCTAGTCATTCGTTCAATCCACTCGTAAATAGAATGAAAAGGCCATTGTTGAAAACCAACAGAGATATAAATCGAATATTTTTTTCGGCTCGACAGTTATATGAATTTTAATAATAAAAAACAGAAACCAATAACAAATTATTATTTATAATAAAATATTGTTTATAAACTGTTTTTCAAAAGTCGGTACTGTCATATTTTTAAAACTTCCTAAAGTCCCGTTTTTTATTTTCGTTTTTACCTAAAATAATAAAAAACAAAAAATCGAAAGTACCGACTTTATTTTGAAAAAAATACCAATACCGTTCAATTATTTTCGTACAAATTCGGGAAAATAATGGAAAATTAGCCAGCCTTTTCCAAAAAACCCGATCCCGTTATTTGATTTGACCTCAACTCGATACTTCGCAACATATATTCAGTACTGTTGGCATAAAAGCACAACAATGAACGTTTAATTGAATTTTGATGGTGTTGTTTGTGTCGAGTTTTAACTGAATATTACTCTGTTTAAAATTTAATTGAAATTTAAAACAAACTGTGGTTTCCTATTCTGAATAAAAAATAATGAAATAAAGAGTTCCAAAAACACCAAAAAAATAAATTACAGCAAATGTTTGATAATTTTGACAGACCAAGTCAAAGAACAACACAAGAAAAGACAATAAAATGATAGAAAATATTGTTTTGTTATGGAATATTTTAAAAAAGATGTTCTCACTAAATGATTAAAGAGAATGTCGACTTTATAAAACCCAACAAAGATATGTTATCAAATCAATTTGTTATTTTTATTGTTTTTGTGACAACACTATTAAGCATACTAATCTTCGAACCTAGCTCTTGTTTTGTGAATCTTTTATTAATTATTAAAATGTTTAATAATGAAAAAAATGACATTAAGTTTATTTGCTTTTGTACTAAAATGCACTTTTGGGATCATTCACGTGTATTTCAAAAACAAAAATCCCGTTATTTCAAATTTTATATGGATTTTTTTAATGCTTAAAAATTCTTCAAGTAAAAAAATATTTTTTGAAAACTGTTTTTCTTTTTTTTACTTGGAAAAAATAAGTGATTTTTATTACAAAAAAACGATTCCCAAAAATAATAAACAAAATAAATGCAAACAATCGGGACACCTCACTACCGACTTTTGAAAAACAGTTTATATCAATATAAAAGTCAATTTTCTAAAATATTTGTTTTTTTTTAGTAAAAACCTGTGTTTTTAAAGAAAAATATAGTAATTTCTTTGGGCTAAAGTACATTTCCTGAACTAAGGTTCAATTTCCGTATTGTATTCTTTTAAATAATTTTAAAACGCAACAGGGTCGGCCAAGATCCAGTTTTTAAACAACTTCGTGGCAATCTCTAATACGTGTCAGTTCATTTTAAGTTTTAGCATGTTGTCAACAAAAAACTTAAAAAGTTTTTGAGAGTTAAAATGTTTTTAAAAATTGGTAAAACTATAGTTAACGATTTAAACAAAATTTTTGTATTGTTAAAATCATCATTACAATGTGTTATAATCCAGTTTTAAAGAACAAAAATTGAACAGTAAAAAGCATGTGAAATGGTAAAATGCAAAGTTTTTAAAATTAAATAACAATATTCACTCATTATAATTGTAATGTACACAAAAGATACTAACAACCAATAAAAATTATTAGAAATAATTTTAGTGATTTCAACTTATAATTTTTATTTTAACAATTAATTTACCTTTTCAACATACACATAATATTAAATTGTAAATGAATATATGTATATTTGTCAGTTTAACAAAGGTTTTGAATATTTCATTTGTGTTCTTTTTAAATTAAAGTATTAATTAAACAATCAAATAGAAGTAATTTTATTATATTTAGCCATAATAAAAAACAAACAATGTATTTTTTGAATGAAGTCAATTATTTTAATTTCAAAACAGTAAAACTTATCTTTAGTTGGTTTTCTTGATAAAAATGATCATTCATTATACGATATTAATCAGTAATAATAATAATTATTACCCAAATAAAAAACTTTATCAGAGCAACTTTAAATAAGTTTTATTTGCATGTATAATTTACAACTGAAAAGTTTTAATGTACAATTATATCAACACAAAAATATATGTATATTGTTGTATTCTAAAGTAATTTAAAAATAATTTTGTGTTTAATATAAATTATCGTTTTATTTTTCTTCATTTTATCATATGGTATAAATAATTGTGTTTTGTCATTTTCTTTTTGTTTTTCAAAAATGATAATGTTATTTACCATTTTATTGTTTTTTAAGTTTTTTTCCAATAACATGATCTTTTGGCCGACCCTGAACGCAATAACCAAAAATGATTTGATTCAAAAATACACACAAAAATTAAAAATACAAAAATAACATCAAGTTTTGTTTGTAAATAATTTTTAAAGAATATAAAGAATATCAAACAAAAAAATTTTAATTAGGGAAACATTGAAAAATCAATAACTGTAAAAATAAGTAGTGATGTATTTTTTGATACTGCTGTGTTTATTAGTTTTTTCTTCATCAATTCAATGGTGTTGGAGCAACGACGTTGTGACTTGTTTTGACAAAAACAGCCCGATTGTAACAATACTTATATTTCCCAAATGGATATAATTTGTTCATCGAAAAAATAATTATTTGGAAATCACGTGTTCTAAAATTGATAACTTACAAATTGAA